GCCGCATGTTCCTAAGTGCCGTGCTTCCCAGGGTGTAAGGTTTAGGGTTTAGGGTTAAGGGTTTAGGGCTCGTGTGCTCCCTTATCCCAGTCTCTGTGCGTGTGTTTCTCTCTGGCGTTTCTCAAGCCTGCCCATGACTCTTCAGCAGCAAATGCATTCTGCCCATGCATGCTTTCATATCTTTACTCACTTAGGGGCCCCCCGGAGGGCCTTGAAGGGGCCCCCTCCCCAAATTCCACCCTGGAGAGGGTCTGCTGCACTCACCTGGGGGCCCCTCAGAGGGACTGGGGGCCCCCTCTCCAAACCTCCACTCTGGGGCTGGGAGCCCCACCCCACCACCCACCGTGTGGGGCCTTGTGGGGCCCGCCGGGGCCCCACAGCCGCAGGCGAGTGTGTGGGGCCCTTTCCGTGCAGAAGGGGCTGCCCGCGGCGAGCAGCTGCGCGTTGTACTTGGTGAACAGGGACGCTTTGTTTTCTTACCACCCGGCGAGCGAGGCTTTCTTGCAGCGGCTGCAGGGCCTTTTTGTTTCTTCGCACTACAAGAACAGCCCCAACGACCTGCAGCTGATGGCCGACGCCCCGGCCCACCTTCTTTTTGTTTTCCTCAAAACTGTCGAAGACCAACAAGACACACTTCCTGACATTTACTGCGCCATACAGGTGGGCCCGCCTCCGGCCTCTCCGCGGCCCGCCAGCCAAAACAGCGGCCCCAGAGGCCTCATTACCGCTCCTGCTGCTGCTGCTGCTGCAGGTGGCGATTGAGGGCTCGCTGTCCCGCGGAGCCATTCGAGAGGCCCTCGGGAGGGGCCTCCGTCCTGCAGGCGATTTGCTTCCTTGGACTTTGGCCCAAGCCTTCGGGAACGAAGATGTGGGGCTTCTCACTGGGGTGAGTTCTCACTTTTATACCTCAATTCTCTTCTTTTCAAACCCCCATTACTGGTAAGAAACCCGGAAGTCTAGGCCCTTAGCTAAATTCGTCAGTCCGCATGAAAGCGGCGAAGAAGCATAATTCTGGAGACTCTTGCAGCTGGGAGAATGCCGCAGCAGCGGTGCTCCTGCTGCTGCAGCTTTGCTGCCCCTGCAGCTCTAGTGTTGCAGGGGCGATTATGCTGCTGCAGCTTTGCTGCCGCTCCAGCTTTCCTGCTGCAGCGACTGCAGCTGCTGCTGCCACAGACAGTGGCTGGACTGCTCAGACACCTGCTTGTGTGTTTCTTGTCTCAGGCGCGCATTGTGCGAATTGCTGTGCACCCGAGTCTGCAGCGAATGGGCTTTGGGTCTGCTGCGTTGCAGCAGCTGATAGACTTTTTCGAAGGCAAGGGCCTGTCTCTGCAGGAGCCCCAGGAATTTGCTGCCTTTGCGCAGCGCAAGGCCGCGCAGCAGCAGCAGCAGCAGCCGCAGCAGGGGTCCAAAAGGAAGGAGAAAGTGTCCAAAATGGACGCAGACATCGAAGACTTGGACTTGGAAGCAGGCACAAGTGACGAGGAGACAGAGTCTGAGGAGCCCGACGAAGCAGCAGCAGAAGAAGAAAAGGGGCCAAAGGGGACAAAGGAGAGAGCGAAAAACCCCAAAAACGGGAAAAGAGACAAAGACAAAGCAGCAGACTCGCTGTCCATACTTACCGTCACCCCCGAACAGCTGCGCCCACAGACCACGCCCCCGCTGCTCTGCCCCTGCGCCCGCAGCTGCCCCCCCTTCGCCGTGGACTACCTGGGCACTGCCTTTGGCCTCACGGATCAGCTGCTGCGCTTTTGGGCCCGCAGGGGCTTCGTGCCTGTCTACTTGAGGCAGCAGCCCAACGACGTCACGGGCGAACACAGCTGCATCATGCTGCGGCCAGCTGCGCCCGCCCCAGCAGCAGCAGCAGCAGCAGCAGCGAGTTCGGATGCACATCAGGGGGAGACGCACAAACGTGGGCTTTATGGCGGCATTGACGAGGCGGAGGCGGTGAGACACCAAGTGTAGAGAACTCTAAACCCTGATGATGCAAAGCCGAGTCCACAGAACAGTTCTACTCCGTGCAGTGCAGATAGATGCGCACAGTAGCTAGGAATTAGACGGCACAAGGTGCTTCAAGATAAGAAGAGACAGAAGGGACAGAAGAAGAAAACAAGAGGAAACACAGACAGGGCAGCCAGGGGGGATCTTGATAAAAAGACAGCAGCCAGTTCAGGATAGAGCGAAAGAGGCAGCAAAAAAAAGTATAATTGGACTAAAGGCGAGACGGGCTGCGGCTGTTTCTGCTGCTGCAGCGCAGCAAAGCAGCAGACGGCCATTGGGTGCAGCTCTTCGCTGCAGACTTCCGAAGGCGGTTTGTGGAACTCACAGGGGGCCCCTTCAGAGACATGTCTGTCTCCTTGGCCCTCGCCACACTTGCAGGCTCGAGGGGACAGGAAGCAGAGGGTTATTTGCCTGCAGTGAACGCGGAGACGGTGAGCCTCTGCGGTGTACGTACACCGCGCGGGCCACGGGCCGCGGCGCAGCAGAGGGCGACGGGCCGCGGCGCAGCAGAGTGAAGAACAGAAAACGAATCCTGACAAATAGCTGACTTGGCTATTTAGCACGAGGATTTAGGGACAAGGAGACAGAGTGGAGAAGAAAAAAAACAGTGGAAGAGACAAAGTGTCTAAAGGAGTATACAGAGGCTCGTGCGCTGCAGGGCGTTTCTTTTCTCTACTCGGGGCGCCGCTGGGTTTCACTTTGCTTTTTATAATTTTGTTTTCATTTTGTTTTTCTCAGATGTTTCAGTTCTTAACTCGCCACGACTTGAGCCGTCTGCACAAGTACGCGCAGCAGCTCGCGGACTTGGCCTTAATAACGGACTTGGTGCCTTTGCTCTGCGCTTTGTACTTCGGCCAAAGACTCAGACCCCTGCAGCTTTCCTTTTTGCAAGAAGCTGCGCTGCTGGGCATGGGCGGCCAGAGGAGACAGCGTACGTCCACAGCCTAGGCCCCCGCTGCCTGCTGTCTCCCTAGACACCCCACGGTGCATGCATGCATGCATGCACGCATGCAACAGTGGCGGCAAACGGAGGCTCCAAGGGGGAATAGGAAGGCCCATCCCCTTGTGAATAGGAAACTCGCAAGACTGCATGCTGCGCATGCATGCACTGGACCGCAGCAGTAGCTTGGGGCCTTTGATTTAGAGCTAAGGATTTGCGGTAGTTGCTGTGTTGCTGCAGCTGACACATTGGCTGAGGAATTCAAAGTTCCTGTCCATCAGATTTTGGCGCTTTTCAACAAGGCAATAGTGAAGATCCACCAGCACCTGCATGTGCGTTTGTGCAGCTTTCAGTTGTGTCTTCCCCAGCAATAGCCTCCTGCCTTCTGTGCGCTGCTGTTTGTCTGCCTGTGTCATGGTATTATTTGGCTGTGTATTCGTTTCCTCGGTTACACCATTTCTTTATTTTGTCCACTTTTTGTGTCTTACCTTTTCTTTTTTTCTGCCTCACTCGCAGCCGAGTTCACTCTACCTTCTCTGAGGTGGCCCCAAAACCCTAGTTTCTTGAGCTGGTGCTCCTTGTTCATTCATTTATTTCTCTTTTCTGTCCTTTTTGCCTGCTGAGCCGCCTGCTTCTGCCCCTGGCCAGGAGGCTGCAGAGCTAGGCAGAAGCCCTGCTGAGTCTGCGTGCAAGAATGGGCCACCTGTGCATGCATTGTGTTTGTTTAGAATCTTTTGGAGGCCGAAGAGGAGTCGGCCTTCGCCGCCCGGAGAGTGGCCGTCAAGCAGGGGGAGGCAGTGGGGGGAGCTGAACCCCAGGGACCCCTGGCGGAGGAGCAGCAGAAAGATGCAGCAAAAGTGCTGCAGCAGCAAAGTATACAGCTGCAGCAAATCAAAGAGGCGCTGGGTCCAGATGCGCTCGAGGTAAGCACAGAAATGCGAAACTTGCGGAAAAGGGTAGACAGAAGGAAGTTAAAATAAAACTGATAGCGACAGATGAAGCGGAGGAAAAAACAAGAAACGAGACAGACAGGAGGCAGATGAGCAGCCCAGCAAGAATAGAGAAGGCACAAAAATAAAAGTACTAAAAATCTAAGGCCGAAGGCGCGGGAGCAGGACAGCGACAGGCTGGACTGGCTGCAGTCATATCTTTTTCAAGGAGCAGCAGGAGTAAAGATATCTTGAAAAAGACGCAGATGCAGTAGGCAATGTTGCAAAAGGAAACGGCAAAGTGCACCCAAAAGGACACCCAAGAAAGAAGCAAATTAAAACACTGGGAAGGGCGCAAAGGCCTGTTGGGGTGCTGCAGAAATACGGTGTCAGTCACATTACACCAGAGGATATTGAGGACGCCGCAAAGGGAAGAGAGGTGTCGGGTAAGAAAGATAGAGCTCACTAACTGTGCCACTTGACTCTATTTCTGTGTTTTATGTTCTTTTATTTCCCTTCAAGTCCTCTTTTTGTTCTTCTCTTTCTCCCTACTTTGGTCTGTGTTTTTCGTTCTCGTCTGTGGTTCCTCCCGTTTCTGTTTCTGTCACTGTTGCTGTCGTTGACTTTCTTCCCTCCTTTAGATTCTTGTTCGTGTGTCTCTCTCGTTGATTTCAGGCTCCATTTCCATTAGGAAAAAGGCAAAGGCTCCAGGAGATACGGCAGCCTCAGGAGAAGGCAGTTCAGCTGCCAAGACAAAGCGAAACAAGAAGTTCAGAAACTTGGGTTTTTGACGCAGAGGCCAGACAGCCGAGAGAAAGCAATAGAAAAAAGGAAACAAACTGCAAGAGCGAGTTCGTTGGGTCATCTGCTTTTACTTGCAGATACCTAATCGTGCTCCTATATGTATGGATACATATCCATACCTGTATGCCTTTAGTGTGCATGAGCAATAAAAGTTCGTTTATCTATTTATTGGATCGTGCACATATTGTCATCTATTCTCATGAACAATGGGCCACGTCCTTCGAATACGCATAGTTGTGTGCAACAAGGATGGGGTTGCATATTCGCAGATACGCGAATTCTGCGCATGTCCGCTAATATATATAGAGGCACTGCGCATGCATGGATGCGTGCACGCGCGCACAGTGTGTAGGTCTCAGTTTGATTTTTCGGGGCTTTCTGGGGCTTTTGAGGGGGGAAGCGACGGGCTAATTGTTTCAATAGAGGAAGGTGCTCTTCCTGTGCTGAACTACAAAGGGCCTGGCGAGTACCTGCACATCCCGCCTTTTAGTAATAGACCTGTATACGCCTAAAGCCCCACACTAGAGCACGAAATTACATCAAAGTGAGCAGAAAAATGGCAGGATGTTGGGCCAGAAACAGACGGAGGCAAAGGCGGCATAGGAGCAGCGGCAAAACAATATGTAAAGATGATTTGGTTGTATCTAAAGACTCCGCCTTGGTGCACAAGCAGCAGCAGCAGCAGCTAGATGGTGTTGATGGCTGCAGGGCGGCAGTTCCGTGTCTGTACGAACAGCTTGCCATCTCTCTGCCTCCTAATTCAAGGTCTGCTATCTCGTGACATTGGTCAGAGACACACAGGAAGTGTCTTGTACGCTGTGCTGCTCTTTCAAATGTCTAATGGGGATAGAAATGGCAAATCATAGTTGTTCCCGCGGACACCGCATAGTGTCAACTGCAAAGTTGTATTTATGGTTCGGACACAGGGGCGAGCGAGCTCAGCTAGTATAAAGCCTTAACGAGCCTCCGTAGATGGAATTGAAGGTGTGCAATATATTGGGAATGCTACTGCAGTCACGTAGCATGCATAGACGGGCTGCAGATACTCGCATTCTGCTGTAGTTGCCTCCGGCAGGGATGCAGCTAGTCGCAGCTAGCTACCGAATGCGCGGGTCTCAATATAGCATGCAATGCCATATATACATCACAGGATGAATTCAGCCCCATCATTGCAAATTTTTAGCACTACGGAGGCTGAAAATCGAGGCGACCTGGACGTAGAAGTGGCTGGCAGGGCAGCTCCTGCCTCTTCCGCGTCATTTCTGCGCCTCAGCAGACGTAGATATCCCGTAAAAACACAACTTTTAATGTTTACGCAAATGGATTTTGCCGTGCATTCCAAGTAAGAGAAGTTCTCTCCCCTACAAAGGGGTTAGTGGTGTGGGGCCGCCCTCCCCCTTGCGGCGGCCTTGCTGTTGGCCTTTGAGGTTTGCCTGTGCATGTGAAACGGGCGTCTATACGCTTGTTTTTGTCCCTTTTGGTTGTGTTGGTTCAGACCTTAAGTTTTTTTTGACTCTCCCGGACTTGTCTTGATTTAGTGGAGTATTAAGGGTAGCGACCAACGGGAACGCGGTGAACAGGCAGAACAACCAAGTGACCCTCCACCGCTACGCCACGAGAGGACCTCCGCTCTCTCTGTATTCATCTTTCAACTCTTTCCGTCGCCCTGAGAGTTCTTTCCCTTAAATTAGCTGCTGGGCGCTCCCCAGCTTTGGCGGTGAGCCCCAGTAACCTGTGGGCAGGGCTGGGGGCCCCCGCTGTGCTTCTCGTGAGCTTTTCTGCGCCGTGACCGTGAGCCAGTCCTTATTTTTTGGGGGCCTGAGGGCCCATAGGTTCTTTATATGCGTCCGTCTAGTGCCTCCATCAGTTCCGCACGATGGGGGCCCTCAGCCTGAACTGGGCGTACGGTGTGTTCCTAACAACCGTGTTCGGATTTGGTCTATTTGTGCTCTATGGGGCACGGCATCAGTCTTGGGGCCGGCTGATCTCTCCCGGGCCCTCCTTTCTCTCGGCTAGGCAAGAGGTGACCTGGGTTCCCCTGGGGCTCTCGTTGTATGCCTCTTTCATGGGCAACTGGGTGTTGTACCTGCCTCCAGTGGCGGGGGCGCTGTATGGCTGGCCTGGCGTTATTGGGTACGCCCTTAGCAGCAGCTTGCCCTATTTGCTGCTGCTGTGGCTCTCCTCCCGCATCTACAGCAGCAGCAAGGGCGCATTCTGCAGCTGCGACTTCCTGGCTGCGCGTTTCGGCCTGCCCTCCCAAGTAGCGGCAGCTCTCGTGTCGCTGAGCATGATGTTCGTGAGCCTTTCTTCAGAACTCACCACTGTGGGCTTGTCTATGAAGGCCTTAACCCGCGGAGCCTTCCCCCTGCCGTGTGCAGTAATCCTCGTGGCGGTGATTCCTCTTCTTTACGTGCTCTTGGGAGGTCTCAAGTGCTGCATTATTAGCGACGTGGTGCAGGCGGTGGTAATTGTTTTCCTGTTCATCCCCTTCGTCATATTCCTGATCTGCAAAGGGGGCCCCGGGGGCCCCTGGGCCCCCCCCACCTTAGAGGGCCTCGAGATCGAGGCCGTGAGCTTCACCCCCAGCGAGTGCGCCGTGGCCGGGGCCGTGCTGGTGTTGTCCGTGTGGCCCGTGTTTCTGTGCGATCAGGGCATATGGCAGCGAGTGTGGGCCGCGCGGTCTGTGGGGGACATGCAGCGAGGTTTTGTGCTGGCTTCGGTGCTGGTGGGGGGCTCTGTGCTGCTATTCGGCACTGCGGGGCTGGTGTGTCTCACGCGGGAGGAAGCGCTGATGGGAGCTTCGCTGTTCACCTTTGCAGCGGAGAGGCTGCCTGTGGAGTGGGTGGTGATGTTGTGCGTGTTGGCTGTGGCCTGTGTGACTTCGAGCGTGGACACTTACCAGGCGGCCATTGTGTCGCTTATAGGAAAAGACTTGGAGAAGTTCCGCCTGTCATTCAACTGGGCCAGACTCGCCATGGTGGTAGTCAACGTCCCAGCAGTGCTGCTGGCTCTCTATCAGGTCTCCCTCTTGGCCCTTTATATGGTTTCAAACTTCCTCTGTGCCGTGCTGGCTGGCCCCTTCGTGGTGACTGTACACCGGGGCATCACTGCCTTGGGGTTCCTAGGAGGCCTGGGCTGTGCAGCTGTGGCGCTCTCGCTGTGTGGAGTAGTGTCAGCCCTTGTTTCAGGAATTCCTTTTTCCTTTGCGTTTTTCGCGCCCGAGGATATTTCGTCTGTGCCTTATTTAGTCTCTTTCATTGTGGTGCCTGTTGTGGGCGCTGTGGCGGCTGCGGCCATCAGTGCATTGGATCGTCACTGCAGTCCAACCAAAACAACAACCCCACCCTCTGCATCTGCCAAGAGCCCGGACGGACAGACAGCCCCGCAATCAGCGGGCAGCGAAGCCTCCCAGCAGCAACCGCATGCAGCTAGCAGCAACAGTACAAGGAGCAGCAACAACGACGGATGTACAGACACTCCCCAGTCCCACGCAGTTGAATTGGGGGCAGTCAAAAGCAGTGCACCTGGGACAGAGGCGTCATGTTGTGTGTAAGGGAAGTGTTTAGTCCCCCTGGAGTGAACCGAAGATGTAGGACGGCGGTATATTTTGTCGTGCGCAGACAGTTAATAACAGAAGTGCAGAGGAGAGCGGCGGCTGCCTCTGCTTCTGTCGCTTTTATACAAACAGCCAGATGCAACTACATATGTACTTAGGTCGGCCAGTGCGGTGCTTCTGCACTGGCCCGATTTTGTGTATTACTTAGTCCCTTGGTTTATCTATAGGCGGGCGTTTAGAGGCTGGGCAGTATGCGCTCCTTTTTAAGATTGATGCGCGCGCTTAGCGGCAGCCTGTCTTTCCATTTTTCTTTGTTTTGTTTGTTGTCGTTCCGCTGCACTACAGATGCACGCAGAGGCTCTCGGCTGCATGTGCACCGCAAATATGACATTCATATTAATGAAGTGCCTTTTGAGGGAGATACACGGGCCAATTTGAAACTCTTGTATTTCCAAGGAAAGTACCGTTCCAGAGATACCCACAGACTCGTATGTGTGCATCCATAAGTATATGTATGTAGGCTATACTAGCGGTAGATACGTGGGCCAATTTGAACCAAAACCTTGTATTTCCAAGTAAAGTACCGTTTTAGACATACCCACAGACTCGTATGTGTGTATCCATAAGTATGTGTATGTAGTTATCCGTAAGTGTATGTAGGCTATACTACAGTTAAATGTGCCTTCCTGTATCCACAGATGTAACTGCGCTTCCGTAGGTATGAATCTTTGTGCATGTAAAGTTACACGCGTGCGTACTTGACAAATAGTTGAGCTGGAACACTTGACAAATAGTTGAGCTGGAACTCATTCTCTGTGTCTACAGATGCATCCATGCATAAGCGTATGCGTACCCCCGCGTATCCATGTAAGTATGGTACAGTGCATGCGCATACGCGTGCTTGCATGTGTGCATGTTTTTATGAATGCTTGTGTGGACCCGCATGCAAGCACATACGCTTCTTGCGATGGTTAGAGCTAGACAAGTGCTGCTTTTGCCTCCATGCGCACAGCAGACAGGGAACTGAAACTGAGGTAGGCAGTGGATGAATGCAACAGAATATTATAGGAGCAAGAGGCTTCCTGCCTCACAGTCCCAGACGTTTCCCGAGCTTGCGCAAGCTGTAAAGCACCTGCAAACAGGCAACAGCCCAACAATGCATAAGGGCATGCACGCACACGCATGCACATTTGCTGTGGGCTTATCCATGCGGGTACGCTTCTGAAGAGCTCCACACTCCCGCGCCTCTATTGGCTCCACAGAAAGCTGTGTAACGACCAACCCTGTGTAACGATTACGCCTAAACAGGTAGGGGGATGTGAAAAAGACGCGGACGCAGACCAACAGCCAAACTCGGGCAAACAAGCACGCAAAGAGAATAAATGAAACAGACTGGAGTGCGGGGATGCGGGCGAAGGCGCGGACAAAGAA